CTGAAAATGTAAAATAAAATTTTTTTCAATGTTAATATAATCCATTTATGAAGTAAATATTACGAAATAGCTTAAGTAAAATACAATACAAAACCTATATTTATATAAAAACAATTGTAAGTGAATCATTAAAACAGCATAAATTTTTATAAATTTAGTTGGTTAAAAGCTTAAACTTTGAAGCTAATATTCTAAATTTATCATATTGTATTATTATTAATATTATTAATTGGATAATATTCTAATTTTCATTTATGTTATGTATGATATTGATTGTACACTTCAATGCATAATTCGTTGCGATTTGCGAGCGTCATGAAATTGTTATTACTCGCGTTAATTTAGACTCAAGATCGAATATCATTATTTAAATAACAATTAATTTGATAATTGATGCACTAAAATTATATATATTTCACTCATTTGTTTATTTTAAATCATTGATGAATAACTATAATTGAATAAATTTTTTATTTATTATTTAAAAAAATGTTAATTTAATGAAAAAATAAATAAAATTAAACTTTATAAATGAATAATCCAAGTTTAATTTACGACCACGAAATAAAACTTTTCTCTAATATTAAATTTTACTATATAATTTACAAAAAATGGTTGCCTCAATATAAAAAATATATATTTAACATTACGGATGCATATGGAATTGCAATTGCTCTCCAAGTAGTTTGCTGTTTCATGAGATATTTTGTTCATATGCATTTTAAGTATTTATGATTCACTTAAAACGTGATTCCACAACTTCATCAAAATAGTTAAAAATAGAAAAGGAAAGAGTTATTAGTCAGTACGACTTCGTAATTCAGCAGTCTTAAAATGCTTAATAAGACTTACTCGTAACAGAATCGACATGTTAAATGTTGTTTGGAGGAAATGACTGTAAAGTATGTAATGTAAAACATTTTAATCGATATTAAGCTTTGTAAATAAAAATTTTGTACGAAGTTAAACATTTTATATATTTAAGTCTACTCCCAAATTTAAATAACATTAATTTAAAACTATGTAATAAGAGTGGGAATGAATTATTATATGACGAACTATTGTACGAAGTATATATTAATTCAAAAAAGAAAATTACTAAATATAAATAGGAGAAAAAATTGTTTATAAATATATTATTTTGTGAATGTAAAGAAAGTTTAGTTCTCCATTTAAAAGTTGCGGAGAATAATGGCACAACAATAAATTAAACAATTATCTATACTGCATTGTAAATTCACTTTTTTCTCTTAAATTGATCGTGTAAAAATTTAATTCTTATAAAAGAGATTTCTTTCATAAAAAAAAAAAAAAAAAAAAAAAAAAAAAAAAAAAAAATTAATACATTGACACAAACTTCACAATTATAAAGAATTTTCAAACGTTTGATTATTTATAAGCATATATTAATAATTAACAAATATTATTTCATTTAAATAAATAGTTCGTTTTACAATTTTTGAGCTGTATACAAATAAAAGTTTATCAATGTAAATTCCAGCTTTAAAATATGTAATAAATAAAGACAATGCGTTGCTTATAATTTAACTGTAATGATCGAATAATTAACTTCATCGTCTTCTCACATTAATTAAACAAAATTTAATGGTTAATATTTTGTAATTGATTAATTAATTATTTTATAGTTTAGTATTTTAAATCGATTGGTCAGAAAATGATTATAGGTATATTGTTCTAAGCGAAATTTAGTTTAAATTAATGTAATGTTTACTTCATACACTTAATGTTGCCTACAAGCCGTTTGTATCTATGGATTAATATCTTTTGGATTTCATTCTCTTTCAATTTTTCGCACGTTCACAAATATAATTCGAAATATTCTTTTTCTAAAATTGATGAAAGAATATAGAAGCAAAACTTTATCAATGTTTTATATAGAACTCTAATTAATGTTAATAATATTTAACAGGCATGTTTATAGAACGTTATATTATTTCCTATGAATGAATTGATTTGCAAGAAATACTTTCCATTGAAAATGTATGTTTTTGCAACTTGTATCATCTCAGAATATCAGAATTTTCTTACCTATCTACTAAGCAAATATTTATTTTAGTTATAATAAATAGATATTTTTATTTAAATTAATTTCACTTGTATTTTCCTTCCAATAATTATATGGAATTGTTTATGAAATAAAAATAAAAAATACAAATATGCAAGAATTGCAATTATAAAATACACTTTATATATATATATATATATATATATATATATATATATTGAATTTATGCATTTGTATATGGAATATTCATTTTTATAAAATGTAAAAGTATGAAAAATATTTATTTGTAATTTTGTAATTTATAATTACAACAGTAATTTTTGTCACGGTTTAAATAAAGAATGAACTCATCCGGCCTACGTAACTTCCTCTATATTGCATATATTTAGGATTATTCAAGATTATTCAAGATTATCCGATCAAAGATTTATTTTAATGGACTAATAAGCTTGTTTGTTAAATGAAATTAAACTTTATTGATAGTTCTGCATAAACGATCACCCTAATTGATAATTAACATAATTTCAAAATCATTATAATATTTTAATATGAAGTATATCGAACATCCAATTAATATAAAAAGTTTGAAACGTTAGCGTAAATAATAATCATAGTTTATTATATTTAAACTAGCAAATTTTATTTATTTCAACTTATTGAATTTTATGCGAATTACATTACTGCGAACTTTTTGAAAATTAAATTTTGTCAGTATTAAAATAGTAGTTAAAATATTTAAAATAATTATTAGTAAATGTTTTTAAATATAAAAAAAGGTTCATTATAATAAAGCGTAAAATATTGGTTTATTTTCTATCTCTACGGCTTGTGAGTTGTGTGTAATTACAGTTTATCATTATTATTAAACTTTTAATAAAATGGTGAAAGATATTTTGTTCAAATCAAGATTATCATTTAGTTAATTAAATTTTACGCTTCAAAGATCATTTAAATGCATAAGTTATGAAATATACAGGGTTTGGTCCGATGAAATTACAACGATAGCGAAATGATTTGCAATTGAAAGTTACGTTGGTGTGCATCGCATACGAACACAACTATATGTATATAGATGTAGCATTTTTTTTTTTTTTTAACAAAAATGTATTAATCTATCGATAATAGAGTTGTTTCATGTAATTCGATATCCAATCTATTATCGTTAACTTCGTATATAACGGATAATATTAAAAAAAAAAAAAAAAAAAAAAAAAAGTATTAGATTTACGAATGATATTGTATTGGATTTGTTGAGAATTTTTACAAATAATTAGTTTACATTGATGAAAAAGCTACTTTTTCATTTGACTATTTGACCTTCTAATATAAACATTGTGTATTCTTTTTCTAATTTTGAAAGGTTATTTTGAAAGGCACGGACTTTCATATTTAAAAATATCCAATTTAGTAAAAATTAATCAACACAAATACAGTGCGTATAGAGCTGCACTAGACTTTTTTTTAAAGAAAATAGAATTTTGCAATTCGTTACAAACAGGAACGTTATAATGCGGTAAAGAACGAACCTGGGAGGAGTAAATTTTGTCCTTCGATTGTCACTTTAAGTGAAAATGGGGAGAGTGAACGTACGGTAAAAGGTTGAAAACGGTGAACTTGTCAGTAGTTTGGCCCTTGCTGTGAACTAATGAGTCCACAGATGCATTATTCGCTCGGATCTGTCGGTTTCACGTGTGACTAAATTGTACCTCGTGGCCGTTTGCACGGTGCTCACAGTTCGCCGGTTTTCACTCCTATATATAACTATATGCATATATGCGTGCACACGTGCATACGCAACAACACGCTCAAACTCATATATATATATATATATATATATATATATATA